AACCTAATAGCAATATCCTCCAACCTAATAGCAATGGCCTCCAACCTGATAGCAATGGCCTCCAACCCAATAGCAAAGGCCTCCAACCTATATAATAGCGATGGCCTCCAACCCAATAGCGATGGTAGTACCTAAAGTGTCTCTGAAAAACCGCCGAACACCTCCTCACATCATCCCGAGGTTCCCCAAACCGCCTTCGCTTGCGGCGACGAGGTGGTAGTGCTAGTGGTAATATCCGGCTTCACTGCCCCATCGGTGCATGCAACAGACTCCCCGCAGACCTCGGCACGGTTTGCAAATGGAACTCCCATAAAGGTTGTAATTGTCCGTCCAGCGATTTCTTCGTCCAACGAACAACAGAAGCGATGGGATCTGGACCCATAGTCTCAGAACACCAAGCACAAGGAGTTTTGAGCAAATGGTCACAGCGATGTAGGGAAATGGCCGACCCATGATACTCATGCGACCTGCATGTGATTGGTGGTTTGTGAGTTTTTATGCCCAATTGGCCTTGCTTGGAGGAATGATTGATCAGTACTCTCCTGACACTTGGTGAAAAATAGGTGTTTCATGGTGCTCTTCCCATTTGTTTGTCCCTGGTGACGGGGTCCCGGGTTCAGTAATCACTTTTGGCCAAGCAAATCAATCCAGAATCCAAGGACTTTCGGTTACACATTCAGCCACACTGCGGCCCAACTACTGGGTGACCCAGCCCAACTGGGTGGAGAAACTGCCTGCAATGATGACAAACCAATGAGACCAAGATCTGATACCTGAAGCTTGGAAACCGGAAATCGCCCCCGCTTGATCCTGTGATTCATCCCACAGCCCCAAGGTACTGCGGGGCATCCAGAGGTTTCTTGCAGTTGCACCTGTGCGGCATGGCGTGCATGGCGGTCATGGCGGTCATCAGGGTCGACTCTGTGGTGTGCCACATCTTCATGCCGTGCCCCCTCCCTTGTGACCACGTCCCACGTCCCACGGCCCGAGACATCCGCCCACCCTTCGCGATCGGTCTCTCCGTTCGCCTCTTCCGTTGGCGAACTGGCCCGGGTGCCCGCAGCCCCGCCCCATCCGGCAGCGAAGAAGCCCAAAAGGGCCAGCGTGACGACCCCCAGCGCCACGAGGCCCCGCCCGGCGGTGCACGAGTGCGGACACCTCCGCCCCGTCTGGTGACATGGGGCTGATTCCGGATCCGCCTGCAGCGTTCGATAGTTCCTGACCGAAGGTGTCAGGTCCAAGGTCCAAGGTCAGGGCACGTTCTCAGACCCCCCAGTCAGTCGAGCTTACGAGCATCGGGTGAAGAAAATGGAAATCGACTGGAAGAAGGCAGGTCCCCTGCCATCGTCTGGCACCCCTCAAACCTCCAAAGTGAAGCGTTAGGTTCTTGGACCCCATGATTCACAAGGTTTAGGGTGAGTTCATGAAACTGACCACTTGTTCATGCAAATCGGCTCACAACCACTGTTTTTTGTTGACCGCGGGTCGCACCATTCTGGTCGATCCAGTACCCCGGCCGTTGCATTCGGATCGTGGCATGGGGATCGAAACGTGGAAAACCGTGCCATGGTGCTTGTGCTGAAACACGCAGGAGAGGTTAAGTGACCGTAAATAGGACCCGTCACCTGGGGTACCCAACTGGGATAGTCGAACTAGGGTTCTTCAACCTCTTTTGGACCTGCCGTCGACAGAGCTTGCAGGAACCGTTGGTTCTTCTCCAGTGGGTCATCCGACGATGAAAAATGTGCTGCTTGGGGAACCAAAAGTGCCGCCCATCTCTAAATAGGAGTAACTTTGAACAAACAATTAAAAGGTTTTAGATGTCATTATATAAATCTATATTATTCTAGTTTATTCTTGACTAGCGAACTCCGCATGGGGCGGAGCTCCACCGAATGTCTGCCTTTCCCCGGAAAGGTCCAAGCCCCCTGCCCACCGCCGCTCCGCCCCAACTCGCTCCGCCGAGCTTCGAGCAAATCGTCGACTTCGGACGACATGACCGCGCCGGGGTCCCCGGTGTAGGGGCAGTGGCTGTGGGAGTTGCTGAAGGGTGTAGGCAAACGCTACGGGGCGCACGGGGAGGCTGTCGGACGTCCTGACTTTCAAAAGAAAGAGGTGAAGAAGCGAAGCTGGAGCGAACATGGGTAAACAACATCAGGAAGGAGGGTGTGATAGCTTCGTATTGTCCTCCCATCCTGGGGAGTGAACTTCCAATAAGGTGGAGAATGAATACATTAGTCTGAGACCTGTGTTCGCTGCAGCATGCTGCAGCTGTTGTACGTAGTCTGGATGCATGCTTCTTCTGAGGCGTAGGAGCGATGAACACAAAGAAAGGGTATCAACCTTCTCGCAAATATATAAGGCTAATATAAGGTGGCCCAGAAAGACCAGTGGCATAAAGAGGAAAAAGAAATGCAGGGAAAATTGTTAAGTCCTGGCAAGTCCAGGTGGTGGGGGATCTTGTCCATACATCTTCATCCAAGAATGTGGTGAAAGGGTCTATGTTCATGTCTCGTGTCACAATGGATTCCATCTCGGCGGATGTCTTTTTCCGTCTCCCTTTTTCAGGCGGCTGTTGAAGGAGCCTGCGTGCATTGATATAGAAGGCCCCCAAAAAAGCTTGAGCCACACAAGCGTGGGAAGCTGCTAGTTGTAATGCAAATGCTTGGATGGACCCAAAAATGCAAACATGTTCGTGTCCACACAAGCACCAACTGTCTTCCGAAACCACCTGGTTCTGGAAACAACACTCTTGAATGTAACACTTCTTCACTCACATGCTCACTGTGCACCTGCCGTGATGCTGGCAGCCACTTCCCAAGGGCTTGGCCTGAGCCACTCGGAATGGCTTTGCGAATGGCCCAAAACCACGTGCTTCTAGTGGCCAAAGCCCCGTTTCCAGCTTCTGTTGGGGCCCATGCTCCAACACCAGACCAACCAAAGAATTGACAGTATAGTATGGTTGGTGGTTTCAACGCAGGAACAACAATACAAACATATGAGTCAGTGGGTTGAGTCAGTCGGTTTGTTCTAATCCCACATTAAAGGTTGGACATCAACTGAAACCACCACCCAGTAAGCATTTCTTGGGCCCACCGGGACCCCATCTCTGCCGCTTTCGCCCAGCGGCTTGGACTTCGCCTCTGGCCTCGACCCATTGGGCTTCATGACCGGCTTCATGACCAGGTCGCTGGCGCGCGGGTTGGAAGAGTCGCTGGGAAGGGTCGGCAACATCAGAGTTCGCTGGCGCTGGCTGCTGTTTTCTTCCACCCTAAGAAACAAGGACACTCAAAAATGAAGAGTTTTGAGGGTCCAAAGCCCTACTATGCAGGGTCAAAAGCCTCCTGTTCGGGCTTCGGGCAGGCGGGTTCTGGCATTTGGGCTGGATGGCAAAGACCAAAACGACATACAAAACCACTTCCTGATCCAATTGCAAAACATCTTCTGAATGAGGTTTCAATACTTGAAGTCATACAACCTGGCTATGGCGCTCGTCCTGCTATTTTTTGGGGAAGTCTTCTGCAACGAATAAAAAACGCCAAGCTCACCCTGAGAAGGACATGTTTTTGGTCGAAGGAAGCTGCAAGGACTCGTTGGAATTCACTCATGCGCGGACTTGCCATTTTGCCTAAGTTTGAACCAGCTGCAACAAACTACATACATCAAGAAGCACAATGGGTGAGTTCGGAGCAACGTGCGATCCGGTGCAAGGCACTCAAGTGTCACAGTTTCGGACATTCCACTCAAGTGTCACACAACTTTGAAGGGTATTGGCCAGCGGCTGAAAATGATGCTTTATGGCATGTTCTCCTAACAAACTAACACACCCGCTCGCCGCTCACGCCGGTGCTGTGGAACGAAGGTCCCGACTCACTGGTCGCGAAGAGCCGCAGCCAGGGAAAGAGCTTATTTTAGACACTCCTGACTATGTATGTGTTTGGTCAAAACCACGCGAACTCCGTCGTGCTGGCAAATGTCTTGACACCAGGGTCCATGTGTTTGGGATGACCTCTACAGAGTCTCTCGCTCAAGTCCTTTTGGGCTCCTGCGCAGCTGATCAATCCCCGCAGCGGTGGCAGCCCCCACTCCGCGCGACCTACCAATGCGCGACATTCCAAGCCCGACGCCCACAACCTACTAGCGATCTCCAACCTACTAGCGATGGCCTCGAACCAAGTAGCAATGGCCTCCAACCTATTAGCAATCGCCTCCACCCTAACAGCGATGGCCTCCAACGTACTAGCGATGACCTCCACCCTAATAGCGATGGCCTCCAAATGGCCCCAAACGACAAGCCAACCATCAACTGATGGACAAACCTCTCGAGCCCCACCACAGACATCCACAAACTCGCTCTACACTCAGCTATCCACAGACTCGGTCCTTTTCTGGCCCATCCTCCGAAACTGAAGGTTCTCAGCCTACAACCGTAGCTTCACTTTGGAAGACCGTAGCTTCACTTTCGAAGACCGTAGCTTCACTTTGGAAGACCGGTCAGATTCCAAGACATCTGTAAAACATCGCTGTCCCAGATGTCGAAGCGGATTTTGGGCAGCTCGAGCGGGCTAGAGCTGCCAAAAAGACAGTGCAGGCAGCCGCAAACAGAGAGTTGCGAGGACAATTCCTTCTTCAAAACAATCAGTTTGAAAAAGTGAATTATAGCTGCTGATTGAATTAAAGGGATGTCTTCGTCAGAGAAAATGACCATGTTCGCCTGCCGGCTTGACTCATCACTTGAGACCGGCAATGATCTGTCTGACCATAGATCACAACCAACGTATAGATTCTCTTTTGCCAGGTCTTCCCTATTGTTTTACTTGGTCTGTCCTTTCTGCAGAAGTCCAGCTAGTGACTAGTGAAGAATACTCAAAGGGTCCTCTAATGTAGAATCTTGATTGATCAACCCCCCCTTTGGGATAGTGAGAATCTTTTCATATGGGGAGCCTATTCACCAAGAGTCCGCATTACAGAAATCCTATTCCCTCAGGCCTCAAAGTCTCCCGAGGCTAACGCCGGAGGCAGGAGCAAAGAAGCTCGCATCATCATCTTGCAAAGGATTGTAGGAGCGCGGATTGGGCGTTGCATCGTAGCCTGTTTTTCAATGTCAAAACGGCTGGGATGGGAGAATGAAGCCCCAAAAAGAATCCAAAAGCCTATAGTTGTTTGGTTCTTTCCTCAAGAGTCCCTCCCTTTCATCTGTTCCAAGTAGAGGCCATCAGCGCCGGCAGTAGCCGGCTTCGGTGTGTTCCTCGCTCCAAGGGGCCCACCACCGTGACGTCCGCCGGATTGATGCCAGCCCCGAGGAGTTCGGAGGACAGAACTTGCTGGACGATTTCCGAGTTGTAGGTGCTCAAGGTTTGGCACACCTCCTGAGAAGTGGGGTCGAACACGAAGTGGGCTTGGCACGCGCTGGCTTTCCGAAGCACTTCTGGCTTCTTCAAGCGGCGCATATGAGGTCAGGTCAGGTGTCTGATCCATGTCATCAGTCTTTTCGAGGCTTTGTTCTCTGTTCGCCCATCTTGTGGGGGCACCAAGGATGTCCCGAACATGTCATCGGGGCCCTCCGAAAGTGGGTGGACATGTTCGATGAATCTACCCTGGCCCACCCCATCTCTTTCGTTCAGTACTCCATCTCTGAAAAAATCTTGAACATCCACCAAACCCCAACCCAAAACAGAGGGGCTCCTTGGCCGAGTTGTCCTCCACCTGCACCTGAAAGCACACCCCCACCGTGGCTTGCAGTCTCCGTGCCAGCCGCCAGAACGCCGGACGCAGCAACCGCCGGGTCTGCGCCTTTGGCGTGTCGCGACCCCGTTTTGCCACCTCCAAGAGGTGTGTCACACCCATGTCGAGGATCTCCGGCCGAAGATCCAAAAGATGAACAAACGCAACAAGTCACTTGTTCAACTGTTACGTCATGGAAAAACGGTCTGTCATTCAAGAAGGCGTGTGAGCCCAGATTTGAGGATCTACATGGATCGACTCTCCTGTAGCTTTCCAACCCATCGTGGTTCCTCCCCCCTGGGTGGAAGGAGCCAACATCAACATCCAGGTGCGCCACCTGCGGCCGGCGCATCCCTGGGTTGGTTCGATCCTCCTCACACGACGCGGTGTTCGGTCTTTTTGGGAATCTTTAGGGAGTCGATCACAGAGGAAGATTGGTCCTTCATCCAATTCCCCCAGCATATCCAGAATGGTCTGACACATCTCCAGGCTTATATAAAGATCAGGCGAATCGTCTACCGTCCACGTGTGTGTTTTGTCGCAAAAAACCCGTCCACCGTCTGACAGCTCGACCCGACGAGGGCGCGGCGGCGGCGGTAGCTCGATAAACGGCGACCATCGTCGGGAAAAGTGGACCGAAGACGCCCAAATAAGAATCATATCCAGTGCAGTTGAATTAGACATAATCATACAGAATAGATGTAGCCAGCTGAAAAATCTATAGATTCTTTTAGATACCTATGTCGCCAATTGATATTTCTGAGACCGTTCCCCAAAACGCGTTTCATAAAAGACAACAGACTTAGGACCTGTAGGACTCTTTTCACCTGCAAATTTGTAGGTTTTTTAAGTTGTTCATTCGCAAGAGAATAAATACTCGTCCCAGCAATAGACGGAGTGGCGGAGTTGATGGTTTGATAGCAAGGAAAAGACATAGCTCAGGGGATGTCAGGGATATTATATCAATATCTACCTGGATCTTCCAACTATGCTCTTCCTGTCTGCCTAACTTGGCAATTCCTTTGGCCCACAGTTGGAAGATCCAGGTATCTATCAACCACCATGGGCTTCGGGTGATGCAGGACCCACCGGTGTGTCGAGTTGACGAGATGAGACGAGACCAGCCTTTGGGCGGGTCTGGCCATCTCCGTCGTACGGCAGAGTCCTTAGATTCCCAACCTTTGACAGCAAAACAAAGAAGCAAAGAAAGCAAATGATATACCTGTATATTGAAGCTTTCAAGAAGAACTGGTCTAATTTGGCGAAAGAATGTTCCGAACCGCGTGCGTCGTTCCAACGGAATTTAGACCATATGGTTGTACACGACCGGGGTTATCCCCTCT